TGACGAGCAATAAAGCGGCACATAACGCAAGGTATGCCCTTACAACAACTGCATTACAGGCCAACTTAAAAATAGTGAGCAGCTGGGCTGCATGACTTGCTTTCAGCCTTAAGCTTCCCAAGGAGAAGCCCTGGAGAAACAGAGCTCTTCTTGTAGTAGTGGAGTTGAGTAAGTGGGACAGAGGAGTGCTTGCCAGGGGATATAGAGGTCCCTGAGAGGATGGGGAGAGGGCCCCAGTGGTCTCAGGGCTGGGTTTCACACACACAGGTGCTGGCAGACAGGGCCCCTGGGTACCTGCCTCAGCTCTCTCAGAAGCTGTAGCCCCTGTGCTTTGAAAGGCTAGATTAGGGTACAGCATGTCTTCAGGAAGTTATGAAATGTTTTTGGAATATATATATATACACACACACACACACACACACACACACACACATATGTGTATTTTCCCCTTTGAAAGTGAGGTGGGAAGCAGGAGGGGGTAATGTTTTGGGATGCTGTACTAAAAACCTGAGGATAGCCAGGTGTAATGAAGTTTATGACGTCTGCCTGAAGGTATTTGCAGCCTACAGTGGCAGCTGTGAGGGGCAGATTACATCTTTCATCTCACCGCATGCAGAGGAGTTCAGTGGGAGAGAGGTCCTGCAGCCCCCACACTTTATTTTTCTCTCAGCCTGGCTCTGTCTCTAACCTGAACTTTGCCCTGAGACCTCAACTATGTCTCCCAACTGCGGCCCAGAAGAGGAGTTTCTTGCAACCCTGTTTCCTTGGCACTTTGTCTGGGGCAGCCCCTGTGCAGCCTTACCCCTTGGGCTATCTCACTCACCTGACCCCTGGGTTTATGCTGTACTCTGAGCCAAGGGCGTGCAGGACAGGTCAGGGGAGTGGCCCCAGCGCCAAGCTTGACACAGCTTAAAGATTGGGCAATGCTCTTAGGCACATGCTGTAACTCTTTGGGATGGTGCTGTGCTGAGCCAGGAGCTGGACTCCATGATCCTTGTGGGTCCCCTCCAACTCAGCACATACTGTGTATGATTCCTTGCTGGGATATGGCACAACAAGGTTATCTTGAGCTATTTTTTCCTCTGTAACGGAGGATGAAGGGATTCCTGCTGCTGCTATTCCTCCTCCTGTTCCATACCAGTTGGGGATGATAGGGGTCATAGTATGAAATAGGGCACTGGGGGTGCCTGTCATGGCATGTGTGGGCTTTGTATTGATGTGACCCAGATTTGTAGGGTTTGCCTTTTATGCTAGTTTGTCTCTTCATGGTGAGCTGAGATGGTATTCAGACTATATTCTCTCCTGAGGTCCCTGTGGGTCACATTATTTATGGTCTTTATTAAGAAAACAAGCCCCAAAACTTCCCTCCCTGTCCCCACAAAATCAAGTTGTGGCTGCATTGGGCAGACTTGAAATAGCTATGAGCAAGTATTCCTTTATTCCTTATTTTTCTAAGTTTCTGTGGCTCAATTTGCCACTTCTCTGATAATATCCTTAGAAGAAATGCAGCCGAACTCTAGGTCATATCAACTTTGTGTTCTTGACTGAGAGATGTGATTTTACCTGTTAAAACACCATTCAAAAGATCATTAGTGGTAGTGATGATTGGGAAAGTAATCTTTTGGGAAACCTTCTGGTTGTGGGAGCAGGCATAGCACTTTTTGAATGAGGGAAGAACATCAAGAGAGATTTTTTTAGAAGTATATTTACATTTCCAGGAAAACCTCACAATCGGTTGATCTTTGACTTACTCTAGTTCACAGCGTTTTTAAAGCAGGAATGGTGCTCTACAACCCCCCTACCCCGCCTCCCCGTGCCTCTGCATGTGTGCACGTGGGTGTTTCTGGAAGTGTTGTGTTAAAAAGCAATTTGGCATCTGCTGACTTTCTCCAACTGAAGCTGCTTCTTCTTGGGCATATGAGATGATTCTGTGCACCCTAGTATGTGCAGCCCTGGTATGTGCAGCCCTGTGTGCCCAAGGTGCAAAGGCAGGTCCCTGTCAAATGTGGTGCCAAGGCAGAGGAGGAGTGGTGGAGGTTCCCTTGTGCAGGCACTCCCGTCTCCATCATGTGTTAAGCCATTCCACATAACCCTAACAGAAGGCTGCCTGTCAGCTGCAGGCCTGGGGTGGGTAGGATCCTTTCTTTCTGTGATTTCCTTGCATCAAAAAAAGGGAAAAGGGGGAATTTCCCCATCTTGCCTGGCTAATGATGTGGTTGGTAGCTGGCTCAGTTCAGGCAGGGCTGTATCCCATGCCTTCCCAGGTGCACACCCATGTGTATGTACACACGGTCTTGGGTGAGCATTTTGTAGGAAGATCCTGTGGGGGAAGACGTATGGACATTTGTATTTAAGCAGCCTGATTTATTCCACTGAGTTTTATTTGATTGGTTTGACTCCTCCTCTCTTCCCTCATGTTTTCCCAAATGCTAGGAAGGCCTGCATTTTCCTTTGCTGTGTATGTTTGGCAAATGTGTTTCAGATGACCTTGGCAGGCTTTTGAAAAGAAGGCTTGAGCTTCTGTGGGTATTCTAAAGTTTTTTTCCCCCTATAGATAAAAGTATTGAAAGATACATACTGTTTATTGGTTGCTTGGATAGTATAACTTAGAGAAGACGATTTACTCTTCAGTGTCTCAGCCATGTATCTTGATTTAATTATTCACTTATCTCCTTATGAAATACAGTCACATGATTGCATAAAAACAAGTGAGCATTCTATCTGGCCATTTTCAATCTTCATTAAAGATCGTATTGTTTTGAATATGTTAAAAAGAACAAAATTCTTTTGCAGAGATTATTATAAAGGGAATGTAATATGGTTGATTTGTGTGTTCATGTTTCGTTGCCCAAAATTGAGGCACCTGAAGCAAGCTGTTAGAATTAAGGGTCAGTTCGAGCAATCAGGTGCCCTTTGGTTTCAGCGCATCTAAGCTTGAGAATGAACCTCAAAGTCTGCTCATTAAAGAACTTATCTCTGTTTTGAAGCCCATATTTTTTTTTTAATTTTTTTTTTAAACTCTTGAGAAACAAGTGTTACATTTCAAGTGTTTTTTTCCGACCTATCTGAAACTTCTGGCTTTCTTTGTTCACTCCAGCTGTCAGTAGATTTCAAGGTGTGTGTCTCTGTGTTTGAAGAAGTTATCATGGATATTGGTGACAGCTGGGCTTTGAAATGTTCTTTGCAGTCAACACAAAGTACATGAAGAGTGAGTCATGAACATTTACAGACCATACTTGACTTCATATGTAAGTCTTCTAATTATGAGCTTGTCTAATTGAGCTGGGGAAGCTCATGACTTCACCATGGCCTTCAAAAAATGATCCAGTTGCTAAAGTTAAGGATCTGAGCAATGATTTTTTTTTTATGATGCTACATTCAATTAATCAATGAAATTAGCATTTTCATCTTTTCTGTCACTGCAAGAGGGGTCCAAACTAGTGTGATTTCCACCCCTCCGGGGCTTCCAAGGGTGGCTTTTGTTTTTGCAGTTTTATTTATTTAAGTTAGAAAACATGAGGCTGTACATTTTGAAGGTAGGACTTTCCACTTATGAAGTCCAATGATCTTTTCTCCATTACTAGTTTAATGCACTGTACATTCCTGAGCAAGGTAACTGAATGCAGCAAATTATGTTTAATCACATAGAATTAGAGAAGTTTGTAACTTGTGTTTGTAAATGCTGTGTCTGCTCCAGGTGTAAACTGAACCACCAGAAGTCTGCAAAGACAAAGCTCTCTGAGTTCTGTGCGGTTATTCTGGACTTGTTTCCATCGTATGTGGAAGAAATACTATTAAAAAAAGTGAAGGTGCACTCTTCGCTATAATAAAAGTTTATCACTGACAAAGTGTCCTTTCTTTTGTCCTTCTCAGAATGTTTTTCAAAAGTCAGCTTTTGTTTGACTTTCTGAGCTTTGGAAGAATCTCTAATGCCATTCACAGGCCTGAATGCCTGATTCCACAAATTCGCCAGGCCTGTGTCTTCTGTTCATGCTGCATGGTTCAGTGTTACAGACATGTACTTTAAAACTCCCTCACTTCAGACTGCAATGCCTGCTTTTGTTGATTTGCTTTCAAGGTTGTACAAATGCACACACAAATGCACACAATGTAATTGAGAAAACTGTATAATGTATAATAATTCTGCATAAAAATGAATAATAAATGTAGGAATAAGAAATAAATAGGAGGAGAACATATTTTCATGAGACTGTACTTGCAAGAGTGATGTACAAATATGGAGGTTTTTGTACCTACTTTTAGCTACCATGTTGAATCTTTTATTACTGTTTACTTAAGAGGGTTTAAGTCTTGATCTTATCTCTTGGCTGTTGGAATCTCCATCGTGCTGTAGCCCATGTTTCCGAGATGGGCAGCAGTGTCTGTGTGTGGGGAGTAGCAGAGGGCACAACGTGAAGGTGTGCTGAGAGTGCTTCAGGGACATGACCCCCTGCTGCTACCCAGCACCTTTGTTGTGTGTTTAGACATGGTTTGGGAAAATAAGCAGATGAACACTGGAAGCTAGTGAATGCAGAGAACAGGAAGATACGTGTCCGAGAGTGGATTTGTCTTCTGCTAACACAATTCAGCTTCCTTTTCATAACATGAATGTTGAATAAATTTTATTTCTCAAGGCAGTGTTTTAAGAGCACATTCCAGGTTGTGTTCTTGTTTAAAAAAATTTTTAGTGAGAAAGCATCCTGAATGAAATTTTGAACTTTGTCCAGTGACTGAAGAGCTTGTGGTACCTAAATGGGATTTATTGTAACTGAACAGGAAAAACCCTGAAATATAAGACTATGTAGTTGTGTAAAAGCATTTTGTTTTCTGTCATCTTGCACTTATTTGACCTTGAATTCGAGCAATGTCTTTGACTTCAGTATCCATAAGACAAAATACAGTATGAACAAACTGTTTTAAATCACCTATTATTATAATTTATTTATCAGTTCATAACATAAAGTTACTAAGTGCTTTTGTCCTGTTTTTCTTTATTTCAGGCTTGGGTCACAGAGAAATGTGAGGGTTTACACTTCTGAAATAGATATGAATGGGATTGAAGGAATTATGTGGAGGATTACGAACTCCCCTTCTTCCTGCTCCAGGAAAGATGAGTGAGTGTATTATGAAATAATTTATAATTAACTCAGTCCTTACTTCAGAAGGTTTTTAGTCAAAACAGGAAGATACAATTCAGTTGGCTGTATGTAAGAATGGAAGAAATTTTAGATACTACAGATACACCTCCTAATTACAAATATCAACCTTCAGAATCTGCCGTTCCTGTTTAGTAATATGAGGGTTTCCATTAAAAATATAGTGTGAGCTTTCGGTAGTAAATCTCACCCCCTCCCACCCCCACCAACTCTCTGATGTAAATGTTCTATATTTGAAAGCCCAGTGTCAAAGAAAGCTGAACTGACAAAATTAATTTTGCCTTTCTTGAACTGGTTCTGAGTGGGGCTGTTACTGGAGAAAAGTGAAAGGTTGAGCTTTATTAGGTTCCTGCACATATTTGTTAGTGAAACAGGTGAGAAACAGCAGCAGAAATGTCCATGTCACACCTGGGCTGCTTCTGAAGCCTGTTGGAGTGCAGCTGATATGTTAGTTCCAGTGGTGGCAAATCCAGCTTCTGTGTCTTCCTGCCTCCTTTCCTTGCTACATCTCTGCCCACAGAGGGAAGGAAAGGAACCCCAAGGCCAAACATGTGGGAGGATAAATGGGACTTCACTTTGGGTTGTCTTTCTCTGTCTCTCCCTGTAGTTACGTGGGGCCATCATTAGAAAAGGGCACATGACTGTTATGTGGAATTTTCTGTGGAATCTTGACATTGTAATTTCTTTAAACTTAGTGTGTACCTTGCATATGTCACCTTCAGATACTGATCAATGAATAAGATCTGTGCTTCCTAGTACAACCTGTTCAAAGTGAAAAGATACAAGTCCTGTTAGAAAAGCACATGGCGTTTAAGGCCTGGCTTTTGGCAGAGGTTTCTCACTTCTGCGTCAATACACACAAGATCATGTACGTGGTGCTGTGAATGTATCAGTGCTGAGCAGTGCATAACAGGACGAGTTTTCAATTGGAGGTGTTGCTGACCAGACAGCTCTTTCACCAAGCTGTGATGCAAGAAATATGTAAGAGCTGTAAGTATGTACAATAAATATGTAAGAGTAAAAATGAACCCTAAAGCTGGCAGAGTGACAGCAGAATTCTTTTATTCATTTAAACATTCTTGTAATTCTTGAATCTAGCTTAGATTCATTATGTCTAAATTGTGTGCAGGGCTGAAAATGGAGGGTGCACCATCCAAAGCAGCTTTGGATGGTGCACCCTCTGAGGCTTTTACACTTGTACATGGGAGCAGGTAACACCTAAAGCAATAGGTGTTTCTGGACAGCACACAGCTTCAGAGGGCCAGAACCAAGAAGATGCCATTCTGCCTATGGCCTTGAAGCTAAAGGACATGCATTGAGTGGTGTAGGGAGAAAAGGCAATGCTATTTTTGTGTTGAAGGTGTCAGGGACAATGCCTGAAGTGGAAATAGGCAGCAGGTGCAAATATATGCTGCAGAGGAGCAGGCTGCAGCAAGGTTCAGGAGTATCCCAGCACTTGGAGGGGGTAAAAGGGTAGGAAGCAGAGCAAAGAGGGTGTCGGTGGTGTATCAAAAGCATCTGGAGCTCAGTGGATGAAGGAGGAAAACAAATGGGAATAGTAACTTGTGTGGCTTCTCCAGAACAGAGAGTGGGATGAAAGGATGCAGTGGAGAGTGAAGTGGGTGGGAATTTTTCTGTTCAACCGTCTACGCCAAACACTTTTTTTCCCTCCAGAGATGTTTCTTGGTGGGCCGTGTTTGAAACCAAATATTAAGGAGTCTCCCCTGTAGCTGACAAGGGAGAGAGGTGAAGAAAAATTCAAGGAACCAGAAGTCAGGACTTTCTGAATGAGGGAAAAGAACAAAGGGGTGAGAAATGCGCAGGCAATAATGAGAAAATAAGTGTTTTCAGGGGAAGTTTTGGAAAGTAATGGGAGAGCAGGGATCATCATCAGGAAATACACAGTGGTAAGATTTGATTTCCAGCTGTCTTGGGTTTTTTACCAGCATGATGTAAATGGCAGCTCTTACTGAAGGGAAGGAAAAATCACTTTTCTCATCAAGGAAGTGGAGAAATCTCACTCTGTTTGCTTGCTTGCACAAAGAACGCTTTAATGTAAGTGTGCGAAAGCAATATAAACATTTTGGTAGTATTTTTTTGTATTTCCTATTTTTTGAAGAGGGGTATGCTTATGGTAACACAACCTGGGGTAACCATCAGCCTACAAATCCACCCCTGTGTGTCTTGAGGTTTTTTCTCAAAAAGATGTTATTTTTTTCCCCCTACTTTTCATATACTGACTTGCTTAGAAAAAGCTAATATTTTAAAACTTTATTTTTAAGTTTGTCCTAATGAAGTCTAGCTATATTCTGACCTGAATATTCACTGCTTGATGGTAAGATTAAAATGACTGTGAATGTTTTAAAGATTTGGGTTTTGCATAAGTACCTTTTGTCCTGTAGTGGGTAGGATGGCTCCAGTCTCTTCGCAAAATGTGACTCCTGCCTGAAACCAGAGTAGGTCTGAAGCTGACCTAATAGCTCATAAATTGGCATATTCTCTCAAAAAGGCCATCAGCTTGGCAAAGGTATGGGCTGGTCTGTGCTTGTTGTTGCATTAACCTCTACCTTGTGTCTGCTTTTTCTTCAGCTGCAGTTGTGCTTGCAAGGTCTTTATGGTATACTTGCTTTATCAGGAGGAGACTGGGGGTGTCACACATACCAGAAAAGTACCCTCATCTTCCCTCATTCATTCCCTATGTTGTGTCATATGGAGCTGAGAGTCTCCTGTTTTAGCAGTCGCTAAAATATGTTGATAATGCTTGCTTCCAACAGGACACTCTTCTGGACATCCTGTTGTCTTCCTCTTTCAACATGTTTCTGGTCAGTCTGAGGGTTTTGGGAGCTTATCCTGGTTCCCCAGGCCCCTGGCAGTGGCAATAGGGAGGTGGAGCTGTACTATGGGCAGGTCCGGGATCCCCAGTGCTGTGGAAAAGTGAAGGGAAGATCAGGTCCAGCTGTAGCAATCCTGACCTTTCTGGGAGCATCACACGTGTCCCACATGTACCATCCCATGGCTGTTCCCACTGTTTGGCGGGACTGGGGCTTGCAAGATTGACACCAAAGCAATGTGGCTGTGTGTTTGCAGTTTTCCATTGCTGGGATCAAGCATTGGAAACTTCCATTGATGCCTGGGAGCTTCTTACTCCTGAATGTGCTCTCTAAGGTTCTTCCCCTCCGTATGAATTGCCTGGCCATGTTACTCTGTGGCTGTTTATGACCCTGTCTATTCATCAATTTTATTTTATTTTTTCAAAACAACTCAAAATATAGGTAAAGCAAACATTTTATTGTATCTGTAAAGATGCTGACCTGGCATCAAATAGAAGAGTATGATGAAGTGATAAATGTTTCAAGCCCCTGGCCTTTTATCTCTGATTTTCTTTTTTAAAAATGTTTCTCAAACTTAAGTGATTGAAAAGTTTTCCAGATCTGATAACTGCAAAGATTTCAAGTGAAACTTTTGGCTTCTATCCCAGTATGAGATCATAGAAAGTGATATTAGCTGAATTTGTACCAGAGTTTGAAAAGAAAATGAAAACACGTTACTGTTAGTGTCTCTCAGCTATTTTTCAGCTATGCTGCACAATTTTTTTCTCATTGGTTAAGTTCTGAGTACCATTTGAAGTGTTTTCAAATATATGTATGTATGTATATATATATATATATATATATGCACATTTTTCTTTCTAATATTGTATTGATTTATACTCTTTGGGTTTTTTATCCCTGCTAGCAGGACTCCTTGGATTCCATTTTACATAGAAGTTTTCTAATCTAGTATTGCAGAGAAAACTCACTACAAGGGAGAGGATATACTGAATTTCTGCTGCTGTTCCAGAATGACCTTAAAACAAAATCTCTAACCTGTCTTTTTATCTGGTTTCTGTGACAGGAGACTTTGAAAGCAATGGTCCTTGTAGGGGTGTGTGTACCTAATAAGGGTAAATGTGTGTCAGCTACATGTGTTTTGTGGGTCTCCTTTGATAAAGAAGTGAAATAAGATAAATAATGCCTTAAGTTAGGAATTTACGTTACTGAACAGGTTTGGACTTCAAGGACTGAACTTGCAAACCCAAGCAATCGGACTCTAGAAAATTCTGCATTTAAAGCTATTAATCCATCCCCTTGGTAAATATTCATTTTGATTGCCTTTAATTAGAGGATTGCATGCTTCCCCCCTCCCCCCCCACCCCCCAAGGCCTGTGTATTGTTCAGCACACAGCATGGCTAATGCTTAATGAGTGGGTAGGTTGTTGATGTTTTGTTTCTCACCATTTCTTGTATGGCTTTATTTACTGCATGGTTGGCAGATGGTGCACTGAATACAGAACTACTCATTTCCTCATGGAGATTTTCATGGCATTAACACCATAAAGAGTTATTTTACTGCATGTTTTTCAGGGAATCTTAATCAGGAGTGCAAAATAAGACATACACATATATTTAACCAAACTTTGAGCCTTGACAGTTAATTTCTGGAAGGAGACGGTTACAGTACAGTTACCTTGGTGGAAGATCTATCAGGTTGTGTTGATTCCTTCCCCCACTCTTTTTTGTAGCAGAAAGCAGCAGTGGGTCAAAGCTCCCACAGGGGCACGAGGTATCTACATAACTCAAGTAGTTTGGTGGAAATGTTGTAAACAGCTGTAAGTTCCCTCCTTCTCTCCAATGTTTTCTTCTTGCCATTGTTAACTGTACAAGAGAACACAGAATTTCATGTCAGAAATCTCTTCTGTAATCAAAGGAGTGGATATTTTGTCCAGCAAACTGGCTTAGCAACCTGCTTCCAGCATTCAGAGCATGTTTGAGACCTGATGGAAATGAACAAAGCTTCAAAACCTACTGTAAGCTACAGGAAGAGAACACTTGTCATCTGGTTTCTGTCTTGGAGGCTGTAAGCTCTTCAGGCTGGAGCCTGTGCCTTCCCATATGTCGATAGAGTATTTCAAGCACTAT